GAATTGGGATCATTCATGTGTGTTCAATGCTGCCGCTTCACTTGAACTGAGGCGCTACATTGATCTGTCGTGGCACATTAAAGATCGCAGAGATAAAATGGACAGATTTTGAAAGTTGTTTCATATCAAAAGTAACAAAACAACAAGGTTTATGTGATTTATTGGATGAGCTACACATTTTTCCTGGGTCAGAAAGTGCCTTTGGTGGTGGCGGACCACGGACTACGGACCACGGCCGTCCACACACACAGTACAAAGTACCCTACCCATGTGAACAGCGAGCCCAGTACTGCAAATCTAAAATAAATGCAAAGAAACAGTTTGTAATATTAACTTATCCTATTTATTCATGAAATAAAAAATAACCAATGTCAGGTCAGATCATAAAACAAAGAGCTTAGAACTATTTTTATATTTTAAAATATGTAAATTAATATGTAAAAACTAAAAAGTCACTGAGTGACTGATTTGAAAAGTTAGTAATGTAACGAATTAACTCTATGAAATATTAATAATCAATAATAACTGGTTATAATTGATTGAGTATTTGGATCAGTTATTATAATTAACTTAATGTAGTAAAATTAATATTACAAGAATCAACCCACCTGTTCGTCCCGTCCCCTTTCTTACTTTCTTACAGTACTAAGAGCCTGTAGTCAAAATCTAAATCGTCAACTTTGTTGCAAGCAGAGAATCAGAACCAAATACGTATTTTGCACAAGTTTTTTTAACTAGGCCTACATCACAAACATAACTAATCTAAACACATACATACATACACATGGAAAAGGGTGAGTGACAGAATGGATGGAATCAGAAGCAGGAAATGGAACTATGGAAAAGATCCATCTAACTATGAAAAGAACCATCAGCTTATCATTTTCAGAGCACCTTATTAAATTGATACTGTGCAGTCGACACAATTCTTGAAGTTGTTGAAAATTAAAGTTGTTACTGGTTTCGTGAGTGTCAAATGTTGAAGTTGCAATCGTTTTCTTCTCCGTTGGATGAAGAAGATAGATATGATGAACTTGCATGGTTAGTTCGACTCTGTTCTGGTTGAAGGTTTTCTCTCTCTAAACAAACACCGTTGCCTTTTGTCGTTTATCAAACGTAATAAATAGTTTTATTTCACTCTCACTTTTTTTTTGTCAGGCACAAAGTCACAGAACACAGCCCTGGAAGTGGCCGGCATTAGCAAACAAGACACAGACAGACCAAAAGACGCACTGCCCAGCTGGGTTAGACAGACAGACTAGAGAGAGATGCACATCAACTTAACTGTACTGTTCTTTGCTGACATCAAACTTGGAGAGGAGAGAACACAAGTTTTTTTGTGACCAGAAGGATTGTTCCACTTAATTTTCTCATCGATGTTGTAAACTTTGATTGACGCGATTTGACACGAGGGGGAGGCGGGCCTTGAGTAATTTGCGGGCCCCTACGATGAATAACGATAATATAATTATGTCTACGCTGTACAATGAGTCCCTTATTGACATTGTTTATACTTTGTTGGTTATAATAAAAGGATTCGTGAACTGTGCAAAGCACGCACTGAACAAAAACTCAGCCGTTTTGACAGATATGTGTGTGATTGGCTACAAAGCTCAACACTGCAAAAACATATTGTAAATAGAAACCTTTGACGCTCTTCACAGAGCACTTTGAAGCAGCCGGCTATCAGTACTGCAGAATGGCAGGTATCGCCATATTAAATAATTATTTGGCAGGTGATAGATTCATTTTGGCAGCCGCCAAAATATTTTCAATGCAGGAAAAACCTTAGTTTAGAAAAGTTTTGTTCACACATCTACTAAAAACATCACTAAAATATTGATCTTGGGATTTAAGAAACCCAAGAGAATTGAAAATAATGATTCATCAGAATGAAGATTGATTAAAATTGAGAAATTGATATTGTTAACCCAGCCCTTGTGATCATGATGATTTATTCATCACTTCATAACCACAATCTGTGTTGATATGACACCTTGGTTCAACTTTTCCTCTTTTAGTACTTTCCCATCCACTTGATTCATTAGCTTCCTCTGCTAACACTGTGGAAGATTTTTCAGAGGCGACAGGAGTCATATCATTACCAGCCATATTTTATTCTGTTCTTTAGCTTGTAGTTGTGGTGTGTTGGCCAAGACAACAGTGAAAGATGAGAAAGCAGCCGGGTATCTTCAGTCTACTGTACTGCACCTACTCAAATGCCATGTCCTCAAGCCTGATTGATTTTCCTCCGAGGCATTTGTCTAGCATTTGCATAAATTATGCTGGCTAATATCCTTTCTTCCATCGCTCTCCATTACTTTGACTGGTAAATCTGTGATTTCCATGAAGAGCTGCATTTCAATGTGATTGCAAAAGACTACTGGCTTATTGAAATTGTGACTTGTGTGTTTAGTTTCATTTAAGTGCCTCTCACCTAGTGAGTGTTTGGGGTGTGCAGCACTACATATTTTCAATACCACAGTTGGGTTACCTGAACAACTAGTCAACTAATCAGTCTTTCAGTGTTTTCGAACATGTTTCTTAGTGGCCATTTACGTAAGACTAGGGCTGCATCTAATGATTATCAATATTTTGATAAACCATTAATCTGAATGAATCGAATGAAAAGTTAAAAAAACTAGTTTTTTAAATTACGTGTTTTTTTATTCATTTTAATCATTTAATTTTTTCTTTATTTCTCATCCTGCCCAACGTTGTCCTCCAAACAATGTGCAATATAAAAGTTATGAAAACAAATCTAGCCTACTGTAGTGAATGTACAGTATCTATGTAGGCTATGCTATAAATTATTTGCAAAAAAGGGTTAAAATATAAACATTACTTTCTAAAGTAAAATACAACTTATCGCTTACCATTTTATAGCAAAAGTTAAAATGGCTTTATTAAAAATGATAATAAACAAAAACAATGTGTATGAGGAACACACACATTCCCTCATTTGAACAAATTGTATTATTCTACTCCAACAAAAGTCCCTTTACTGTAACTACTCAAATAAAAATATGATTACTTAACTAATTTTAAACCTACATTAATTTCTAACAAGAAATATTTGAGCAAAATGTATGTTTTAGTCAGAATTACTGGGATAATTCTACTGTGCGCTGTTTGTTTGGCATGCATCAGTGCTCGTTTATTGAAGACTGGAGTTTAATGGAGACTTGCTGCTTGTCAGGTTATGCAAAATGGAAATACTTGCGGGACTCACTAACATTTACGGGTAAGGATATAACCATAAAATGGAAGTTATGTACTGAGAAAACATGTCTCAAAAGCATTAAACGGATGCATCTGTCAAAGCATGACAGGGCAAGCCACAGTAAAATGTTTGAAGCTTATAGAATGAAGAATATAATATAGGTTTCTGACAAATTAGGTCATGTACATTTCCCACAGCAGCAGCTCACTCTGTGTTTCGCTTTTTTTTTTTTTCGTAAGCGTTATGTACGTAGAAATGTGTTTTTCACTACTGTAAAGCGATGTGACTGGCTGATGGTTTCGGTGCACAGCGTCTATCTACTAATCGATCGTTCATGGTGGGATTCATAAAAAACAACATAAGATGCAACCAAAGACTATTTAATGCTCAAGACAGTTAATTCGTATTGCTATGAATGGGGGAAACTGCAACATGCAGTAAAGTGCAGGAGGGACGTATTTTTGTATGACAAATCCCGGAAATGAGTTAATATTTTAGCACTTGCGCTTCCGTCTTCTTGAAGTCAATCAAGTCAAGGTTTTTGGTTAAATGCCTGTAATAAGGTCTGTGGTTAACACAAGCTCAGGATATTGTCACATTGTTACAAACCTTTTAAGTCTAGGGAGAGTAAAGCGTGCAACATTAAAATACTGAACGTGTACTGGAAAAACATCTCACACAAACCAGTCTAATTGAAGTATGTTGAGGATTTATTATAATGAGAAGCAAGGTGTAAAGAATACCTCAAGATAATTAATTAAATAAGTGTACCATTTAGATACAAATCATACAAAGCAAAGTTTCACAAAAGAAAGAGGTAAAGAGAAAACAACTAGACAGTGCCAAATCAAAGAAAGAAACAAAACCAAAACCAGTCTGGCTAATTATAAACAAAACAATTTATAATCTGACTAAATTGACATTCATCAAAAAAAAACAAAAGATCTTCAGCGTCAGAGACGCCCTACATAAACTGCTCTTACTGCAAAACGAAAAATACGAAAGATGGCACGTGTCGCTAAACTAGTGTTCTATACACGATTGATCCCTCAGTGTAGCACATGTATATCACGTGATATCTCACCTGTTCTTTTCTCTTCCCCGTTAAATAACAAGTTTCACAACCCGACCAACGGCACACTACTCAAGAGAAAAGACGACCCAAATGGGCTTCTAAGTTCTCAAAGAACACAGTTTCTCAAACACTAAATTGGTACAGGGCAAATATATCAAAGTGGAATCTCCCGCTTCCCACACAGGTGGGCTCTTTATAGGCGCATAGTGCGCCCTCATTGGTGGAGCCGCGTTGCATCATCACAGAGCATTTCGATGACTGGCAGATGGATGGACCAATCAGGTAACCGCATGGTCCTGCTAAGAGTGAAAGTAAAGAGGAGAAAGAAAAGAAGGAAACAAACAACAACACCAAACATATAATAACATAGGACGTAACACACATTTAAAAAAAAAGTTTTTACTTGTCTTGAAAATTAATTGCTACCAAGTGGCTAAATGGGACTACAGAGGTTATCGGGGACTTTAAACGTCATCATAAGGAAAATGGTTTAAAAATAAAGACTGAAAGCTTAGCGAATTTGAAGTAATTCGACCGTGTTGTAGTTTGTTTATAGCCTACGTTTAGCTTTTTACTTCTGCTGATTGTATTTACGCTTCAAAATGATAATTTAGCAAAATATAATTATCTGCCCTGGAGTAAGTGCATGAATGATCTAGTTTATATATATATTTGTTCTCACTGTGTGTTTGCTCTCTGCAGGAGGCAGATGGAGACGACAGGCTTGCTTTTCCCGGTGAAGGGGAAGGAGAAATGGAGGGCGACTCCAAAGCGGACACACCAGACATGCCACCTCCCACAGATAACACTCCACAGTGTCTCAACAAAGCCCTGGAGGGCTTGTCATCTAGGTACCCAATGACACTGAGCTCATGAGCAACTCCCCAAACAGTCTATGTTAGCATTATGTACGTTTAGGCCCCAGTACAATACGCGCGGGCAACTATGGGTCTCTAAGGTCTCACAAACTAGTTGAACCTGTTTTTGCTGGGGAAAAAGGAAACCAGTGCACTAATATTCTCTAAACATAATCCTATCAACTTATGATGGATTTTTCAGTAAAATAAATACCTTGTAAAAATTGATCTGGTTAATCTTTGAAAGTAACCTTACAGAATGTCGTATTGCTCAGCTATTCACTTTGATTCTGATCAATAAGACAGACTCTAGTGATATTTGATATGCAGATGAGGTTAGGGGGTAGGTCAGTGGGTAAAACACTCCTAATCCTCGTCTGTTTTGCTGCTCTGTTGGTGGGATTTGCTGCAGTCTCTTTAAAAGACCGCAGAGGCGCTGATCCAACGCAGGGCGACATGCCTGAATGCCGGCGCCTGGCTACGCTTTGTGATGATGCTGCGCTTTTTTTTCCCTCTCCCTCCCCTTTCTCTTCCTCTCCATTGACAAATCTCCTCTCATTATTTTCAGCGGCATGTGTGAGTTGTGGCACCTGCAAACAGTTTATTACACTCTGGGCCAGAAAACGAAGAATTCACATCTCTCATGAAGCCTCATTTATTACATTTATGGCGCCATCAGCATCAATCGATCTCATCCATTTTGTTCTCAGAAATCTCAGAACATCAAAAATACAACTTCAGTGATCAACAGTGGAATCAAACTGAAATCATTGTTTTGTTAAACAATGCATCATTCTGTTCGTGCCATTTCATGCAGTTTAACACACCTACATTTGAGAAAAACCACTGGGTCATCAGTTTAACATTTTACTCAGCTTAATTTCCACCTCTTTCACTGGCTTTTAGTGGCTTTTATTTATACCCTTAAAAGTGGGGATGTGCCAGCACTTATAAATGTATTTTTATTATTTGAACTTTCTCAAAGGGTTTCCTACTAAACTAGTCTTTATTCTGCAGTTTTGATTCAACTATTGATTCCTCATGCAAATATGTTTTTCTGAATTAAAAAAAACACATATCTCGATCTCGGCAGGTGGAAGAACTGGTGGATAAGAGGCATATTATCAATGACAATGATCATTGGCTTCTTCCTCATCATCTATTTGGGACCCATTATGCTTATATTTGTGGTAAGTATAAGTACAAACCATATGTGTACCACATAAAATTAAATTAACATGACTAACACACTGACCACTGGCTAGCCAGCGTTTGTGTTTCCTAGACCAAGCATTTACACAACTTCCTAGCTGCCCTCCCACAAACCCTTAGGGCCATTTAGCTCATTTATAACCTCACTTAAACTGACACAATGTAGATATTTTCAATTAAAAGTCAATATGAATCAATCAATGCAGTGATTTTAAAAAGATTTTTGACTTCTTTTTTTATAGGTTATGGGTGTTCAAATCAAGTGTTTTCATGAAATTATAACCATTGGCTACAGAGTTTACCATTCCTATGATCTGCCGTGGTTCAGGACTCTAAGCTGGTAAGTAAAATGCAGACAAGGCACCGTTTAAAGCTCCTCTTCTCACTATCTCTCCACCCTTTCCCCCTTCTCACTGATTTATGTACTTTACATTCATGTACAAACAAACATACACCCACTCTCTCACGTTTTACCAGTCACCTTTTGTCATAGATAAAGTAGTGATTAACTGGACTTGAGCAAAGTGCACTTCCATGTTGGAACCTACTGTAGCATAAAGTACGCCCCACCTGCAGGCTTTGTCCAAACAAGTCAAGATGACAGCCAAGCAGAAGAAAGGGGCCATGTATTGTTAAAACTCAACACAGTTTCTGTCAAATATGTGTCTTTCACTCAAATAGTCAGATCTTGACACAAATGCACCTTGTATTTCAGGTATTTCTTGATTTGTGTGAACTACTTCTTTTATGGAGAGACAGTGGCTGATTATTTCGGCGCACTCGTCCAAAGGGAGGAACCTTTGCAGTTCCTTGTGCGTTATCATCGGTTTATTTCTTTTGCAGTGTATTTGGCAGGTGAGTGTAACTGAAAGCTCGCATAAAACACTCCAAGGAGACAATCAGAGACTTTTATGACTCTAGGTCAAAAGCCCATAGTCCACAATTAGCTTTTTTCCATAATTGATTATATTCTGAATCATATTAAAATGTTTGTATTTATGAAATTACTTCATGAGAGATACATGCTTGGTCACATTTACAAATGCTTCAACATGTGAATATGCTGTTCTTCTTTTGTTGTTCAAAGGTTTTGGGTCAGTAATTATTATTTTTTAAATAAATTAATACTTTAATCCAGCAAGGATACATTAAATTGATCAAGCACATTTATAATGTAACAAAAGATTCCTATTTTAAATGAATGAAAGTTCTTTTGAAAATGTTCAGAAAAATACATTTCCACAAAAATATTAAGCAGAACAACATTCATTTCAACATTGATAATAATAAGAAATGTTACTTGAGCACCAAGTCAGAATATTAGAATGATTTCTATAGGATCTTTGCCATCACAGGAATGAATTATATTTTAAAATATATTAAAATAGTTATTTTAAATTGTAATAATATTTCACAATATCACTGATTTTATAGTATTTTGATCAAATAAATGCAGCCTTGGTGAGAACTAAAATCTTACCGACCCCAAACCTTTGAAAGGTAGTGTACAGTATATTCACAATATAGCACAACCTTGAGCGCCGCAACTATTTAAGTAAAAAAATGTAATAAAGACAATTGAACACTGCCAGGCCAAAAAATAAGTCGCTGTTTGGATTTAAATTGGCAAATGCTGAAGAGTCTATGATTGGATCGTTGTTGCAGTGATTATTATGTTCCTAGCATGTTATATGTTTGGCAACAGTTCTTCTAACCCTAATTGATGGAGTGTGTAGCTTTTCATTTCTTAATCAACCATGTTCAACATCATGGCCATATTCCAGGATGACAACGACAAGATTCAGTGTCAAATGTCAAATTGTGAAAGAATGGTTGGGAGGGAGCATGGTAATCATTTTCACACATGAATTAGCACCTTTATGTCCAGACCTTAAATTCATTGAAAGTCTTTGGGATGTGCTGGAGTTGACTTTATAGAAGACTTGACTCTTGCATTGTCAATACAAGATATTGGCCAAGTATTATTCATGCTCCCTCCCAACCATTCTTTTACAATTTGAGCCTGATGAATCTTGTCGTTGTCATCCTGGAATATGGCCATGATGTGTCTTCCAACATGGTTGTTTAAGAAATGAAAAGCTACACACTTCATCAATTAGGGTTAGACGAACTGTTGCCAAACCTATAACATGCTAGGAACATAATAATCACTGCAACAATGATCCAAACATTGACTCTTAAAGGTGCTCTATGCGATGTCACGCGTTTTTTAGGCCAAACCATTTTTTGTCACATACAGCAAACATCTCCTCACTAACCGCTGGCTGCCTGTCCCCTGAACACACTGTAAAGAAACGTGATCTCTGTAGACAGCCCAGGCTCCACAAACAGCAACAAAAACAAACTGGGCTAACCCGCTCCACGAAACATGACAAACAGTTCCAGCCAATCACCGACAAGAAGGACTTGGGGGCGGGGTTTGGGGGGTTAGTGCGCGGATGAGGAGGGTCTAGCTAGCCTCCGTTTTGTTTGACAATACTTTAAACATCAACAAGAAGTGACGTCACCCGACATCGCTTAGAGAACCTTTAAGCATTTGCCTATTTAAATCTGAAAAGTGACTTTTTTTGTGGCCGGGCAGTGTATTTGGTGTCACCCTTTTGCTTTAATGACAGCATCACTCTGCATGAACTCCACAAATTTCATGAGTTTGGACCAGCTTAGGGCTGCGACTAAGTCACTGCTGCAAAAGTAGAGGTAAACGTGTGTTCATACCCAGGACCAAAGGCTCATGTACATCTGCCTCTGTTATGGCCATAAATGCACAGCATGTTGGAAGCTGTAGCACTGCAGTCATTTTTATTTTCACTAAACCTTGCTTTCTCTCCAACACCTCTTAATGGTTGTCATCAAGACCCCTGTATATTAGGGACAGCCTTGAGTGCAATTATATAAGACTAACTCAGTGTGTTTGTTCCAGTATTTTGTAGATGTATGAAAACAAAATATGTCATAATGTTGTGTACGGCTTCTGTCATAACAGTGATACGGAATGTTTCCAAAACAAAATTAAACATATAATAACTCTATACTGATGAAAAAAACTGTTAATGCTGAAAACAGAATGATACAGAAAACCGTGATCAGATTTATCATTTCTCCTGTATTTTAGGAAATTAACTGCATGTTTTTTGCTTTTTACAGGTTTCTGCATGTTTGTACTGAGTTTAGTGAAGAAGCATTACCGCCTGCAGTTTTATATGGTGTGTATCAGTCTTTTCTGTGCCAGCCAGAACTAAACTGTCCATTCCATTCACAGTCATGTGCGTCTCATATGCTGGACAATTAGATACTCACTAGTCACATGTCATCATATCACATTTAAAACTATTTTTGTATAGTTGGTTCATATTCAGATATCTTGAGTGTTGTGAAAGTATTTCAAAATATGTTAAAATGTATTTACATTAGGTGCTGATTTAAAAAAAAAAACTACAGTAGTCAACATTTGAAGTGGATCAAAAAGTTCATCAAAGTTGTCCTAACGGGTATTGTTCAAAATTCATGTATAACTTTGAAAGGTTTTGATCCATTTTGACTACTGTATTTTTTAAAAGTTTGGGGTTGGTAAGATTTTTTAAAAGAAGTCTCTTATGCTCACAAAGGCTGCATTAACTTGCTAAAAATACAGTAAAAAAAAACAGTAATTGTGAAATAATATTAAAATTCAAAATAGCTATTTTCTTTTTTTAAACATATTCCTGTGATGACACAGCTGAATTTTCAGCAGCCATTACTGATTTTTTTCAAAAGTGTGTTCAAAAGAACAGCACTCGTTTGAAATAGAAATCTTTTTAACATTATAAATGTCTCTACAGGTAATTTTGATCAGTTTAATGTCTCTTTGCTGAATTATGTTTTTTTTTTTTTTTTTGAATTAAAAAAAAAGCAACAGCAGTGATGATGCCATTGCGATATTTGCATACTGAATTTGTCTTCTTTCTTGCATTTATTTGCATAATTAATTGTGATTGATGTTTTCATTGCACTCTAAAGATGGTGTCTCATATAACGACAACTGAAAACAAGACGCACACTTAGCATCGTGACAATGGCAATGGTGGCTCTGATGCTGCTTTTTATTGACACACAACCCCCAAGCCTGAATTCAAGCCTACCAAAAACATTAACACTAGTCATCTGCTGCCTTGCTAGCACTGATAATTCCTGCAGGACATGCAAACATGGTTGGGCTTCTGAGTTGAGTCCAGCCACAGCAGTTCAGGAACTCTAATAATAGGCATAAACTGTGCTTACTTCACTTAAACTACTGATGTCAGCAAAATGTCATTTTCTTTGTGAGTGTGAGTAACACCCATAACACATCATCAACTTCCACAAGAAACACTCGGCAACAAAATCCTTTTTGTTTCAGCCAAGTTTGCTTTAACAATTAGTAGTCAAGTATTTAGACCAGTTTGTTTTATTTTATAAAAGTTCTTAGTTCAGTCTTAATTAACATTTAAGATTTAAAATTGTTTATCAACGCATAATAAATCATGCTGTGATTGTGTTAAGACATGTTGCATTATATATCATCATTGTTTTAGTGTATAGACAACATTTCAACTGTTCACTCTGAGTTTGTGTGTGTTTGTACGTGGGTGGCCATTTTGTGTGTGTGTGTGTGTGTGTGTGTTTGTGCTTGCCATTCCAGTTTGCTTGGACCCATGTGACCTTGTTGATTGTGGTGACTCAGTCACATCTGGTTATTCAGAACCTGTTTGAGGGAATGATCTGGTAAGCCCACCTGACCTGACAGACCTGTCTGGGGTTTCACCTCATTTCTACTTAAGTTTCTCAAGCTACATTCCTTTGTTTCCTGATGTTTCACATGATAACATATCTGGCCGATCAAGGGAGAGCAGTGTACAGTACTCATTTCTGTTCATAATTGTTCATGTTTTAGTTAACATGTTTTAGTTATCAATAATTCTCTAAAAGAAGTCTATTAAATGAATGTGAACTTTCTTCTCTCCCTTGTTTCTTTATACTTTGTTGTTCACTGCAGTTTCTTCTCTCCTACAGTATGTGTTTGTAAAATAAAACTATAATTTGTTCTCTAGGTTTATTGTTCCCATCTCTATTGTGATCTGTAATGACATCATGGCCTACCTGTTTGGCTTCTTTTTTGGAAGAACACCACTGATTAAGGTAAACCTGTGATATTTATATGGTAGATGTTTCATGCCTTAATTGTCTGAGATGAGTACATTTTCCATAAATTCATGCATTGTGGATAAAAATGATCTTATGTCAACCCTCTTTGCTCTCTATCAGCTTTCCCCGAAGAAGACCTGGGAAGGATTTATTGGGGGATTCTTTGCAACAGTGGTCTTAAGTTTCTTTGTAAGTCACCAATAGACCTGTAAGCAACACCAACAACTGTCATATCAATCCCTCAAGATATGACTACTAAAACCTTGATGTCTTCCACTTTTTCCAGTTTGCCTACCTGCTATCCCAGTACCAGTACTTTGTTTGTCCAGTGGAATACAACAGCGAGACAAACCGCTTTGAAGTAGAGTGTGAGCCCTCAAATCTGTTCATGATGCAGGAATACACACTTCCTGCAGTGGTGCAGAATGCAATTAGATGGGTGAGCACTGGACAGGGCAAAACTTCATACTGTAACCGTTAATAAAGCTCTGCTTAATGCATAATAATTGGGAGGGGTTGTTTTATTCCTGAATCCTCTGAAGTGATAAATAAAGATGAATGTTACAAAATGATTGTTGTATTGACTGATGATCTACATCTTTCTTGTGTCTGCAGAAAACGGTGAACCTTTACCCATTTCAGATCCACAGTATTGCACTCTCTTCGTTCGCCTCTCTGATCGGACCATTTGGTGGATTCTTTGCCAGTGGCTTCAAGCGAGCTTTCAAGATCAAAGTTAGTTCACGTTCAGCCGAAGTCACACATAAACCCTTGAATTTGTGTCTTTACACAGTCTTTATCTACTTGGAGTGACCGTTACACTGTGAGCTTGTGCTTTTTCATTTTGTAGGACTTCGCGGACACCATTCCTGGTCATGGTGGAATAATGGATCGTTTTGACTGTCAGTATCTGATGGCGACGTTCGTTCATGTTTACATAGCAAGTTTTATCAGGTGAGGAAGCCAGGTGACCTCTTAACTCATTTTTGGTTATAATTGATTATTTCGAAACAATATTACCTATACAAATCCATAAAATAAATGAAACTGGAAGCATGACAATCAAAATAATTTAATTAAACACAGGGTCCAAAATTAACAGACCAAGTGCCAATGTGTGTAAACATTGGCTTTATCCAATAAATAAAATAGATTTACTCATCAGTGGGCTTTTACTTTTATAATTACCTTCCTCATAATACAATGGTTGAATCGAGCTATACAAGATAGTCTGACCCCTTAGTGATTTAAGTGACACAAGCACTTCAAATCAAAGAAATACAAAACGTCCATCCAACCATCTGTCGAGACTCTTCAGTTAAATAATCCCATTGTCAATAAGACAAATATATATGACCTGCTCCATCAATTTTATCACATTGTGAGTTTTATGCACTCATTTTTAAAGAATAGTCTAATCCAACATTTACATTATCTTGTCTTGGCATTGGTTTGTAGTAGAAATTATGTATAAACAAATAAAAAAGAATATTATTAGATATTTATATTATTTTATTACACTGTACATCATCTTCGTTTTTTATATTTTGCAAAAATATTTTCTATTTTATTATATTATCTACTTTATTACATATTTATTGATTTTTAATGTTTTTTATTAAGTTCTGTTTTTTTTTAATCACACCATTAATTCACACTGTGGGACGGGGAAATCTTGGAGCAGGTCACATACAAGTTCTGTCATGAAACTCTAGATGGGTCCAGGCTGATGGGTCCTTTATGCAAACTGATGACATTTACATCGTTTACTACTTGGCACAAGCTGATTGGTTCCTGTCGCATCTGCAGCTAGACTTGCTGCTCAACATTTAAAGGGGTCCTATTTTGCCCTTTTACAAAGTCTTGATTTTGTTTTTGGGGTGTACTAGAATGTTTTCATCCTCGATTGTACAAAAAAACGCATTATTTTAAACATTTTACCTTATTAGAGCACCTCTCTCCCTAGTCTGTCTCAAAAGCGCCATCTAGGTCCTGTTTCGATGAAGACCCTCCTTCTGAAATATGAAATGTGCTGTGATTGGTTAGCTGGCCCAGTGTGTTGTGATTGGCAGCGCTTAGCTCGTGTTCTGGAAATCTCTCGCCCCTCCATAACTGCAAGTTCTGCTCTAGTGTGAATATTAAGGATGGCGTCATTCAATTTCAAACCAATTCGAGCTCGATTCAGACCCTGTCAATGTTAACTAACAAGAGGATCATGCAGAACAGATTTCATGTACAGACTTTGCAAGCACAGATTTCACAGGACATTTCAGAGTAGTTTTTTGTAATTTTTATACATTAAAGATACGATGTTATCCACCATTTAATTGTGATATTTGTCGGGAAACTAAGGTATTACAAACAGTAATCGGTAACAAAATCATGGTTCATTTTCCTGAGGACCGGTGAACCGTCTTACAGAAGCGAGAGCTTACAAAAGCTACAGAAATAAGCTGTTCTCCATAAAATGTGCAGCGCACAGATACATGTTGGGGTTACATTACAATGTTCAGGAACAGTGTTTAAAATACATTTTAATCACTCTAAGTTTGTCCGCCAAACAGAGGGGTTTTGGAACCGGGGTGGGAAAAAAAGCATCTCTTCGACATTGCAGTGGGACTCTTAGGCCCTGTCCCAAATGGCACCCTAAGCACTCACGGTCTTCCTACGAGTCCACACTTTCGTGACGGAACGCCACTTTGACTGTTGGGAAGAAGTCTGCTGCGGAGCCCCCATCAGTCCGGGCTCGGTAAAAGTGCGCATCGAGGGTGCATATCGATCGCAAAGGGGGATTATTTCACCCTTCTGAAACCTAAAATGACAAATGGGGCACACTATGGTCTCATGGACTTAACGGACACGAGCATGCGGCAGCCATTGTAAGTCCACAAGCCCGAAAAATGCATATGAAGTGTGCCATTTGGGACTGGGAGAGGGACTGGGCGCAGATTATTTAAATGAGTAACATTGTGACTTCATAAGATCCGGGAAAAATCCCTGTATTTGTTCAGCAGCAGCAGCAATAATCTACAACAGAAATAATCAACTGCTGCAATCTCATCATATATCTATTCCGCTAAGACCAAATACATTGTCATATCCATTACCATGCTAAAAATCTTCTGAAAGTTGTCATGATATAAATATCTTACATTTTTTAAAGAAGCCAAAATGTAGATGTTTTCACTTCTGATATTTTGCAAAAGTAACTGTATTGTTGTTTAGCATTTTGATTTAGATATCAGCACTGAAATGTAATGAAGCAAGGAGTTTTGATGGTCGTTGTTCTCTTCCCCACTCCCCAGGGGGCCGAACCCCAGTAAGGTTTTACAGCAGTTGCTCGCCCTGCAACCAGAACAGCAACTCAGCATCTTCAACACGCTGCGCAATCACTTGCGAGAAAGGGGCATGCTGCCCCCTGCTGTGGAGGAAGCCCAATGACGGACAACTCCACCACAGCAGACAAAAACAGTTCATGTCCTGTTGAACTCTGCAAACATTCACTCATGACTGTGATCACAAGAGCACACTCCCAACCGACCGCAGGAGCGACGTCTGCTGCAAACCAAACTCTCACTATTAACCCATTAGAGACATAACCACACGAGGGCGACACGGTTCTATTGACCTGAGTCACTGTTTAGGAAATCAACATCAGAGGTCTTCCAATCAACAACAAACATGCAAAACAAATGATCCAAGCACATGGTAAGTGAATGTATAGCACTACAAGAAAGGCGCTTCAGCGGAGTGACATCATTGTTCTGATTTTGATAGTGGCTGTGGCCTGACATATGAGTGTATGATTTGTGACTTAAGGTGAGATGCCATTATTCTCGTAGTTAACATTTAAATGAGCTTCCGAAAACAGGGGTCCGAAACTTAAAGCATTGTAAAACAGTGAGTCTAAAACCGAAGCATGTCCGTAAGTCCTGCTGTTACTGCTTTTTCCATTCCACATTACTGAGGGTGTTTGTGTGAGTGCTAGAGGAACTCACTTGTGTGTGTACATATCATCATATGTATTATTGTACATATATATGATATACTAGATCAAATATAGTGAGAGATTATACATTTATTACAATAATATATAAGGCTTAACATATTCTATATTATAGTAAGTTATGAAAATGATATGCAAGAAGACTTCGACTTGTCTTCCAATCCAGCATGGCTAAACTTCTCCATGGGTGGAGAATAACTTGAACGGGTTGTTTTTGGGGGAGAATCAAACAGCCTTTTTGAGAAGGTGATCTGCTGTTCCCCTACGTGACCATTCGTTTTAGTTGCACTGTATCTACACGAGTCGAAAGATTCACTTTGAACTGTTTTCAATTAGCTTTTCAGGTTTTAATATCAAAAAGCACTGGTGCTTTTTTGAGCAGATATCCAATATTTGAAGAAAAACAAATTAAATGTGCTTAAATTTACAGAAAGTTGATGTTTATATGCTTTTTGTGTTTTGGTTTTTACTATATCTTCCCTGCTATATTGTTTTTTGCTACTCGTTTTTAAAAACCTGCATTTTCATGTTAAGTTAATTATGTGAAATCTTTCGGAATTCTTTACCAAACAAATGTGTACCAAAGCACTGTCAATTTTGCTGTGACAAAAACCTTACATATAACACAATGATTAACATTTGTCAAATACTACAACCTTACAAAAGAAAACAATAAATCCTGTAACAATTAATAAACCAACTGAATAAATTGGGTATTTATAGTAGTTAAAGGCACTTAAATGAACAAGATTAACATTACTCTTGGTTATTGTAACTTTACTGTAAAGTTTAGTGTAAAGTTAAAAATTCAGATCCCTACAAGAGGATTTGTAAAAACCTTTGCCCTAATTGCACATCAGGGACATAGTGTAGTTTTGGACCAGTTGTGTGAATTGTAAAGCCCCCCAAATATATATATATATATTATTATGACTATGATTAATATGGCCCCTTACCTTATTCATTCCTGTCTGCAATAGGTTTACATGTTTCTTTCGTTCACATCTGCTGTCCTGTAGACATTTTGCAGTCATGTGAGAATGTTGTGTTTATAGAAATATGAATCATATCAGACCAAACAGAGAAAGGTGGCTATAGCTTATTTTGTGGATGTCACAATTGTATAAGAATTTTAGTTTTTGAGAGCTGCTGTACAATTTATCATGTTACCAATATATAATATTGTGCAAGCTGATCCTGTTCAGAAGCTTAGCAGAAAATGGGTTTCAAATTACTTATCACGGTTTGTTTTATTCATTGTTTTAAAAAATGGGAACCTTTATTTATGTCTGTTTGATTTTCAGATTTAAAAAAATCTATAAATCCAAGTTTTCAGTAGTAGATATTTACCAGAAGACAAAGTAACAAATAATGGGCAATACTGGGAAAAAATAATAATTATTATTATATTACTGTTATTATTATTGCAATGCTACATTTGGTGAATAAACTTCACTTTTGACCTACTCTCACTCTGGTCACATTTATTACATGATTTCAGTTTTCTGCAAGCAGCAATTGAGTGTTTATTCTCAAAATTGTATCTTTGTTTGTTGTTAAACGGTAACATTTTGAACTGATAGCGAATTCACAAAACCAAAGCAGACTGTTAATGTGAAGAAAAGTAGAATAATCAACAACAACCACTTGAAATAGCAAATGAACTGTTGAACAAGTGCATTTTACATATAACATCTTGCAGTCAGTATGGTAATAACATTTAGATGAAATACAAACCAAAAGTAATCTCAAACAAACATCTTATAATGGCTTATACATCTTGATTTTCATGATCTCTACCTGTTCAATCTAGGTCAGACTGTAAAGTGCAATGGCGACTTCATTATTTAATCTAAGGTGCATCCACACAAAATTTTTTTTTTAGAGCATTACAAAACATTGACAGAGCATTCACCTCAACCTAATGCATGATGTTTTGGACGTTTATGCAGCTGTATGAAAGATTTCTGCCACCAGAACCAGCCGAGACCCGAATCATAGCTCCATTAGAATAGGAAGCCACCTTTAAACCACAAAACCTAACAAAAACAACACAAATCTACTCTTCTCCCAACTCCAGTTCTTTATATATGGTCATATTTACATTGCAAGAAGTTAAGTACAAAAGTCAAAATACTTAACAAATAAAAAATAAAATAGGAATTCTAAAACCAACCTAACTTATCCTGGTCTTAAAAACTTTTAAGTAACATAATTCACATTCAAATATGAACAAAAAACCAAGACAATGTTTTAGCATGCTAATGCGGAAAACCTTTAGTGCATTTCTGTAAAGAGAAAAAAAATCTCTTCCGCCCTCCGCTACGACATTGAAGACTCATCGTGATGAAGACCAAGCGCTTATCACACTACATCAATCACTTCCACTGGAGAGATCTGACCCATACGGATGCCTTCTACAGCACAAAGCTGTCAGTTGCAGCATTACTTATAAACAATGACACTGGAAAGCTAGCCTAGCCTTGATCTTATGTCAAGCATCGAGGTGTTTTCTTCTTCTCCGTTCACTGCTAAGTCAATACATCAGTAATAGGCAACCGTAAGTCCTCTTCCTCTACTGGAACGCTGTCCAAATCATTCCTTGCAGAACAGAAGAGCCATCTGAGCAGCGCCAGCGCCACACGGACCAGAAGCCTTAGTAACAGAAAAGCGAACGGTACACCTATCTCCATCATGTGAAAGATGGGCGCGCTGAAGCGGCTCAGGATGCAGGTGAGGAAGAAGGTCCCGAGCGCCACGCAGGGGTAGAGCGAGAGCTTGGCCAGCATAAAGGTGTGGTCTCGACCGCCGTAGCGCACGTACGGGTGCAACGTCTCACGCTCCGTGAAAAGCGCCACCACCCACATCGCTAGCTGGAACAGACCTGCGAAGAAGATGATGACGCAGCTGATCTGCACGGCCTCCAGCTCATTGCGGGAGCCTCTGGGAAACTCGTGCGTGAGCTGGTAGGCGAGGGGCAGGCCACCCACAAAGGCCAGGGAGAACGTGTTGAAGAGGCCCATGAGGCGCGTGGCCTTGGTCACGTGCAGGAAGAGAGAGTGATGAACGAACCAAAGCAGCCCGACGGTGACGTAGGAACCGAAGTAGGCCAGGTACTCGGGGCCGTACTCCTGAAGCGCAGCAATGAGGCTGTTGTTAAACTGCTTCTTCACCACAGACGGATCAGGCACGTTGCCTTCACTGTGTAAATAGACAGTTTATTAAGCTCTCAAATCTATGTCTTAGACATTAAAGGGATAGTTCACCCAATAATGAAAATTCTGTCATTAATTCCTCACCCTCATGTCATTCCAAACCCGTAAGACTTTCGTTCATCTTCGGAACACAAATGAAGATTTTTTTTTATGAAATCTGAGAGATTTTTGTCCTTCCATTGACCGCTACAAAACTACCACTTTGAGATCGAAAACTAATCCATATGAATTGAGCGGTTTAGTCCAAATTTTCTGAAGAGCCCCAATTGCTTTACACCATGAACAGATTGAATTTAGGCTTTTATTCACATATAAACATTCATCAACTCACACATCAGTTGTGGTAAACGGAAGCTCAAGCATGTACGCCTGACGTGCGAGAACCAATGAGGTTCATTCTTGTGTTACGCCGCACGTTTGAGCTTCTGCAAGAGGTTTGCTCTCGCGCATCAAGCAGGTTTGGGTTGAGCGTCAGTTTATGTTCTGTTTAACTAATCCATATGAATTGAGCGGTTTAGTCCAAAATTTTCTGAAGAGAAACGATCAATTTATATGATGAACAGAATAAATTAAGGCTTTTATTCACATATAAACATTGATCAGCGAACATAAACAGAAGCTCAACCGAACCTGCTTGACGTACGAGAACAAATCTCTTGCAGAAGCTCAAACGTGCGGCGTAACACGAGAATGAACCTCATTGGTTCTCGCACGTCAGGCGAACATGCTTGAGCTTCCGTTTACCACAATTCATGAGTTGATGCATGTTTATTTGTGAATAATAGCCTTAATTCAGTCTATTCATCATATAAAGCGATCGTGTCTCTTTAGAAAATTTGGACTAAACCGCTCAATTCATATGGATTAGTTTTATGCTCTCTTTATGAACTTTTTTGAAGTGTCTAAGTGTCAATTGCGTAGCCGCCAATGGAAGGAATGAAATCTCTCAGATTTCATTAAAAATATCTTAATTTGTGTTCCAAAGATAAACAATATCTTGCGGGTTTGGAACAACATGAGGGAGAGTTTTTAATTACAGAATTATTTTTTTTAGTGAACTATCCCTTTAACAAAGCTTTGTGTCAACTTTGATGCTGTTACACAACTAGTAGCCTGTCCAATGACAAAGCCAATGCTGCTGACTACATCGTAAACTGTCATATTAGCTTTGGAGGATAGTAAAATACAAACCAAATGTCTAAGATGAGCAGTGTGGCTACGATTGCATACACCCCGTCGCTGAACGACTCCACTCGCTCTTTACTCAAAGGTTCACTGGGCTGATACGTGTAGAAGAGCATTGAATCTGGACTGTCTTCCACCTGACCTGAGTTTATAGAAAACATGATATAATGCAGATTACAATTACATAACCTCTCAGTAAGATTTAAAAAAAAAAAAATTTGATCATTTTATTTAGGATGCATTATATATATTGACCAAAAGTGACAGTAGTAATTTATAATGTTACAAAAGATTCTATTTAAAATAAATTAAACTCTTTTGAACTTTCTGTTTATCAAAGTATCCTGAAAAAATGCATCATGGTTTCCACATAAATGATAAGCAGCACAACTGTTTTTAACATTGATGATAATAATAATAAATTAGGGCTGTCAAATGATTAATCACGATTAATCACATCCAAAATAAAAGTTTTTTTTACATAATATATGTGGGTGCACTGTGTATAATTATTTTGTATATATATAAATACACACACATGCATGTATATTTAAGAAAAAAAATTATTTATATATAAAATATTTATATTTATATATAATATAAATTATATATAAATCTATATACAGTATATACATGAAAATATTTCTTAAATATATACAAACATGTGTGTGTATTTATATATATAAAATAATTATACACAGTGCACCCACATATATTATGTAAAAAAAAACTTTTATTTTGGATGTGATTAATCACGATTAATCATTTGACAGACAGCCCTATAATAAATGCTTTTAGAGCAGTAAATCAGATCATATTAGACTGATTTCTGAAGGATCATGTGAGTAATGATGCAGAAAATTCAGCTTGGCATTACAGGAATAAATTGCATTTTAAAATATATTAACATAGAAAAAAGTTACTTTAAATTGTAATAATATTTCACAATAATACTGTTTTTACTGACTTTTTTTTTAAATGAATGCAGCCTTGGTGAGAATTAGAGACTTGTAGTAAAGGAACTTAAATTAACTAAATTAACATTACTCTTGGTTATCGTAACTTTTTTCAGGCTATTTTCTTTCAGAAAACACTGAACCAACCCCAAACATTTGAACAAGTCAAGTCAAATATATTTATATAGCGATTGCTATATACAGATTGTATCAAAGCTGCTTCACAGTATCAATCAAAACAACTTAACAGTTTTAAAAAAAAAACTAAAAAAAACATCCAAGTTTGGTAGAGCTGATCAGTGGTATGATGGGTCATTTGAATATCCCCAGCTAGTGTATGTAGTTACAGTAGTGTATGTAGTAAAACAACGACAACAAAACACCCATCCAATGTAAGAATAAGAGAGTGAAGTGTTGTGACATTTTGATCTCACCACCAATGGTTTTATTCCGGATCCATTTTAAACACTCAGAGATGTAGGGCAGGAATATGACAATAGCCAAAATGACATAGGACTGCCAAGGGAAAAATATATAAATAAAAATAATTAATTCAACTGTTTATATATAAATTGTTATAAGGTTAAAAAAGGTAACACACATATATAATAATAATAATAATATGTAATATATATAAATTTGTTAGTACATGTTATATATAGATACATTTACGTACCAATTGGAAGAAGATAACTGAAAAAATGCTGGCAAACAGGCACATGATAGGAACCTTCATGATGACTTTGAGGATGTGCTGCTTGTAATAAGCCTGATTTTCAGACATTTGGATCTGGTCATTGAGGAGGAAAGGACGGCTGAATCCATACAAGACAATCAAGCACTATGGACGGGGAGACACAAAAAAAAACATATGACGGTAAAAACCAAACAGTGTTCAAAATAATGGAGATGGCGTTATCTCAAAGAATCTTATGCTGGTAATGTTGTTCAGCACATGCACACATTCTCACCTGAATTAAACCGATCACCATGACACAACCACAGAAGAGGAGGATGCCAAGAATATAATTAGGGAACGTTGCCATGAGAGAGAACTATGAGAAGATAATGAATAAAGTAAACATTACAAAACAATCATGAACAGGCAGAGACATCACTTTATTTCCCTTAAAAAATATAAAAGGAGGCAAAAGGAAAGTACAATGTCATCAGATTGTGCTTTCAAACCTCAAATCTTTCAAACATGAGTGGTATGACTCACTGTGTATGGTAGAAAGGTTATAAGCATCATACATGCCTGAAATAGAATACAAATGAGATGTTGAAAAGTCATTAAACTCTTTCAAAATTAATATGCAGCTACTTCACATTTATTATTCTTGTAAAGTTTAGGCAACACTTTTTTTTAGTGTTCTCACCAGGTTAAGCAGCGCAAGTGTGTCATCAATGCGTTCAATGACTTGAAACAACCTGAAGACAAATACTTAAATGAAATCTCTATGCAAATGAATAAAACGAGCAGTTACATGAAGTTATTATTACTTAATAGACTGTAGCGCTTGAATGCTCTCACCGGATATGTGCAGCCCAAGCAACAGTGACAATCAAAAATGTCATCAAGTAGACAGCAACCTTGGTGGTGAGCAAAGCCTGAATACTCTGTTTCAGTTCCTGAATATAGAGCGATCAATTAGGAGATAAACATACAACAAATTGTTTTTCATTTGTATTTTGTCTTAAAGGAACAGCTCACCCTAAAATGATTTATACACCCTCATGTAGATCTAAACCCATTTGACTTTCTTTCTTCTCTTGAACATACATTGTACAAGACAATGTACTTTGCTCCACAAAAGAAAGAAAGTCATAAGTATTAGATCAACATGAGGTTTTTTCTTTTTTTGAGGGTCGGGCTAACTGTCACTTGAAGGCTATATTATAGCATATTGTTTTACCTCATTATCCTGAAATTTAGTATGTGCAACAGGCAGTATCTGTGAATACAAAAATTTCATGACACGTTTAGGGCGTTTTTCCATGCATAATGTTTTATAAACCAATGATCCAGGAGAACAGGTGAGTTACAGAAAATGTCAGCGGTTTGTCATATACGATCTAAATGTGCATTCAAGACATTAAATTCAAGTCCCATCTTTTTGGTCTGCAGCAGGCTCTCTGTGAGTTTCCCTCACCATGACAGTGGCGATGATGGAGATGAGCGCATCACTGTAGGCGAGCAGGCGGTGTGAGGACTGCGTGCTGCTGTGTCCCTCCTTCTCCGACGACGACAAGCTCTCCAGAAAGGAATTCGACTGATTCCTCGGTGTCCGTCTCTTCTCCATTTCCTCGTCATCGTGGTGCTCGATTATTTCGCTTTCGTCATTTTCGCCCATGACCGCGGCGGTGTGTGGTGTGTGCCACTGGACGGTGCAGGCATGAAGCCACAGTGCATTTGTTTGCAAACACCGATGATTCGATATCAGCTGACCGGAAGTTAGCGATGTCTGTTTCGTGAACGAATCGTTTATTTGAGTCGGATCTTTTTAATGAATCCCTTGAACCGGTTCACAAATCCGGACTGAACATTTCGTGTATTTTTCGTGATAATCAGAGAACCGATGTATTTGGAGTGAACCTAGGATTTGACTGACCGGAAAAATATGTTCGGTTGGGTTACTTCATTAGCCAATTAATAGAACTTCTAGTATTTGTTTTATGCAAATATTATATAATTATATTCATTTTCTAAATAGATGTATGCTTTTATTAGCTAAAAAGGGGCTGAAACAAACTGAACTTGAAATGTAAAAGCGCCAATGAATCGTTTTTGAACCGGCTCTTTGAGTCGGAACTCGCATCACTAAAATGAATGGCGAATGAAAATAGCCTAAAGAACAGCTAGAAGGGCTCTCCTCCGATTGGCTAACCCTACCATTTCACCAGCATTTCACTTCTGTTGGGCTTGTTTAGATCATTTTACAGTTTATGGTTTAGATTAGTCCTGTCAATTTCGGGGTTGTTTTGTTATGAGAGAGAAATGGTAGGGTTAGCCAATCGGAGGAGAGCCCTTCTAGCCAATCAGGGGTGAATAAGGCGGTATGGTACCTTCCCCTACCATCCTGAAAAAAAAAAAAAAATCGCTCCCGGGAGAGTGTCGACTTTAATCCAGCTCTATTTCGCACAGTTAGCCTGCCCTATACATTGATTATATTAACCCTGTAAGTTTTTTTTTTATTATTAATCACACGATTAAACATAATTTATGTAAAGGGAATATTAATAAGTAAGGTAGTGACGCAATAAGATTCCCCCACAGAATAAAACATAAAAAGATAATTTTATCCTACAATTGTGAGTTTACATCGGACTTTATAATTCGCAATTAGGGGTTTTTTTTCCGCAAAAAAGAGAGTCAGAATTGCGAGATATATTCTCTTTTAAAAATTATAAAGTCTGAATTCTGACGGGAAAAAAGACTGACTTTTTTTCGAGTTTATATCTCGCAATTTTGACTTTAGGCTATATCTCACAATTCTGCGATACAAAGTAACGTTAAGAATTACGAGATGTAAACTCGCAATTGCGAGAAAAAAAGTCAGAATTGTGAGATCATAAAGTCAATTACCTTTTCTATTTTTTATTCTAAGGCGGAAACATAGACCCCTGCTGTGCCCATTTCTTTACATTAAAGGCGGTATTTTTGTTCACCAAAATACCATTTTTCTACTATTTTCTTCTTTCATTTTCTCACAAAATGGCTTACCACTCACTAATCAATGTTAAACATAATGTTACTATGTCATACTACTATTGTCAAAAACAGCATTCGATTTTAAGAATATCCTACTGTAATTTGAGGAAAGGCTACAGAATGGTTTTAAATTGATGGTTTAAGACAGCTTGTTTTCACCTATGGTTTTCACCTAGATCAAACTTACAAATCACCTAGATCAAACTTACAAATGAAACAGAATGGCAAAGTACCACTAGAGGGAGACAAAACTTTGTTTACTTTGATGGCAAAAAAGGACTAAGAAAACCGTCCTATCCAGACCTTTAATGCCCTCACGTGTTATCGGAAATTTCCTAGTAAGTTCCCACTGAGTCGTGATTACGAACTCATCGCATTCAATTTTTGACTTGTTCATATCCCATTTTTTTTAAACTAGACACATTTACGATAATTCCGATAGCATGAGAGACCAGACCACAACAGCTAAATCACTGCCAGTTTCCGAATAATTTGCAAGTGTTTGTAGTTTTTATAGACAGTTTTTTGTTTGTTTGACCAATTCGTCATAGAGGCAGCAAAATTTGCCTGCACTTCAGAGATGAATTTGACAATGTATATTTTTGCATTGCCACAGATGACAGTAGGCTATATAGTGCAAAAATAGAGTGAAATCAAAATCACGAGGCGCATCACGGTAAGACTAAATAATGCTCTTGTAATCCTGCTTCTTTGAGAGATAGAACGAAACAGACGAGTGGAGAGAAACGGTCTGTTTTTAGGAGCCGTTTTAGTCCCCGCAAATCAACACAATCCCAAACAAAACATTGGGAGGCAGCAACAGAGAAGGGCTTCTTTTGTTTTTAATAGAATTTCAATCAAAGTGGCCAATTACAGAATGGAACAGTAACCTAGCAACTAACAGTCAGTCATTCTCATGATCAAATAATTGTAAAACCAAATATCACATTATGCTACATGCTCATGCACACATGCACAAATCATTTGTGTGAGAGAACACAAATTATTTTTTTAAAAATGTCAAAATAAATCATTACAAAGGAGGAGAGTCTGAATAAATTATAAATGATCCATTAAATTTAAATTATCCATTAAAGGGGTGGTTGATTATGATTTCACTTTTCTAACTTTAGTTAGTGTGTAATGTTGCTGTTTGAGCATAAACAACGTCTGCAAAGTTATAGCGCTCAAAGTTCAAAGCAAAGGGAGATATTTGCTTTTAAAGAAATCGTTTTTTAAGGACTACAACAAACGGATGGTAGGGACTACACGAGCTTCCTCCTGGGTTAGTGACATCACTAACCCTAAAATTTACATAAACCCCGCCGAATACGCAATTTTGTCCGACAACAAAACTGTCAGTAGATTAACGTCGGTGGACTTGAACTTGAAAAACGGTATTATTTAAATTACTTAAATGACAATATTTGAAAGTTGAGACTTTGTTTCATATCAACAGTAAGCTGCTCTGAGCTCTCTCTTGTATGTCGGCGCGTAGTCACTCAGTGTAAGTCTTTCTTTGCCCCGCGATGTATTTTTCACTGCGTGAGTGAGAACATGATGTGCGTGACTCGTGAGAGCCGCCTGGCTTGTCACACAGTAACTAAAAAAGACGGGTCTTTGCGAACGGTCACTATAATATTGATAATGATTCCATGATAATGCATGGAATATACGGCAAAGCGCCACTGAATAACAGGGCTAATTTGTGGGGGGCGTGGTAAGGCAAGTAGTCAATCTGCTCCACAGCCAATCACGGGCCCCCTCCTTGCTCGGGCCCCGGGGCTTTAGCCCCGCCTAGCCCTATTGTTAATGCGGCCGTTATACCACCCCTTTAATAATAGATTTGTTCCATTGAAAACCAATCAATTCCTGAACATATTCCAAAATGATAAGCGTGACCAAAGCAATATTTCCACAAAGACATCCATCCATCTGTCTGACTGTTGTGATGTGAAACTTCATCTCTTTATAAAATAAAGCTAATCAATTTACCTTGCATTGTAATTCTCCAGTGGCAGCTTATCCATCTGTTCCTTTGAGAATAATTTGCCACCACTCAACAACAAGCTTAATTTTACAAACATTATATTATTTAAATTATTACTGTCCCCAAATGTCTTCCTTAATTAAATGTAAAGCCTTTTCTGAGATATCTGTTTTCATTCAAGTAATGTTTATTCAGTGCAAATTAGTGGCGTAGTACGTCAGATGTTTCGATGTTTTTCTGTTGTTCTGCTTTGTTTTGTTGATGTTTAAATAACTTGACAGAGAATGAGGCATTATTGCCTTCTTAAAGCTGTCGCAACAATGTGCTTTTACATAAAATTCCAGTAGGCTTTTTTTTTCAGAGCTAAACATTGGGTTCAACTATGTTAAACTGTTGTTTACATAACACATTAATACCTTTACTGCCATATTTAGCAGCCCATTACGTTGCTTTCTGCTGGCATGTAGTTTTTGTGCTAACTCAACAGAACTGTGCAGCGTTACAGCATGCAGTACAACTCTATAATATCACTGAACACATATGTGACAGGCTACAAAACTGCTTTTGCTAATCACTAATCAGTCAGTAAAAGTAGTCAAACTTTGAAGCATAATGATGCTATGTAACATCGGAAACCTTTCTTTATAGTGCCTGTGTAAGACCTCAGCAATTCTTTACAACAGTGCAGGTGATGCCGGGACGGTCAATCCTCGTTGTTTCTTTGCAAAAATGTATTGTGAAGTGGAGATTAGTTCTGTTCCATTTGAGAAAATGATCAAGTGCAGATTAAAAACAACCTGACAGATGATAGGACAAATCTATGACAGCTCAGAATTACATATCGCAACTTTAAAAATGACAACCTTGTATGGAATTGACAGATTTATTATTTGCTGCTTTTCCTTATTATATATATCTTTTTTTTACTATAAGGATGACTCTTGTATCCTTCTTGTGGACACTTTATTATTTTAAACTTGTCAGTGTGAGTTAAATCTTTTTGACCCATTTTACCTGCAAAAGTAAACCTGCTGAATAAGAATATGAGGCTTTTTTTTTTTTACTTCCAGTCCTCGCTAACAATTATATCACTTATAAAAGATTGTATTCAAAATGAATAGTGGTTATTAAGATTGATGTGATTTGGAATTGGTAAAATGTGCTTGGAAAAAAATATGATCAGAATATCGTCTTGCCTAATAATAATGCACACAAAGTGTTAAGTTCTGCTTTTGGTATGGTTTGTGTGAAGCTTACAGTATGCCTTGGTTTCTAAGTCAACAGCAGCTGAAGAACAGAAGAATTGAGCCGAAATAATCCCTCAGTCTGGAAGTATGGAACAGCAATAAAAAAAAAAAACGTGATGTAGTGTCATTCATCCGTGCATGGGGACTGGAACACAGGGACCGGGCGCAAGGAAGATGCTGAGCTCGTCTACTCATAGAGGCTGTAGTAGGTCTGCATTCATTCATTTATTGGTGAATTTTCACTGCATTCGCTATTTAAGTCTGATCTTCTCAATGTCTCAACCAGTGTTATTATTGTTAACTGAAAAAAAAAAGGTTTTCAGTTTTTTGAAATAATGCTAAAATAAAAACGAGATAAAAATATCAGATAAAAAGGCAACAATAAAGTGCTAAAATACTTAAACTGAAGTGAAAAGAAATCAAAGCTAAACAGAAATAAAAGTAACATTAACTAATAC